TAGATATTAGACGTTATACGTACAGTAAATTGGTGGCGCTATACAACTAATTGGCTTACGATGGTCATGTTGCTAACACGTGGTGTTTTGACACAATTTTACCGCGAGTGGTACAACTGTGTCATAATTACTACGCGTAGTACGCGTAGTACGTGTAGTACGCGTAGTACGTGTACTACGCGTACTACGCGTAGTAATTATGACACAGTTGAACCGCCATATACGTCGCCAAATGGGAACCATGTACTTTTCTTACGTGTTGTGTTGACGCAACAAAGCTTTACAGCGAAATTTCAACTTTTCGCAAAGAGGGGGGTGCGACTTTGTTGGAAGAGCATATTCTTACGTTGCGTCAGTTGCGTTGAGTGTACGTCCTAGTGGGAACCACGCTTTAATCGAGTGGTGTGAACTTGTGCGCGGCGTAGCGAACGCCAGTATTATCGCGCAATCACTGGCGTACGGTAATCCAGCAACAGACCCCAGATTAGCGTACGCCACTGATTTACGACAGTCACGCATTTGTGATTTTGAACTCAGCCAAGACTTGACCAATCAAAATAAACCTAGATGTAAACAGAAAATAAAATGCGTGAATTACGAATACGAATATTTCGCGTGAATACTTACGCTAGCATTCATTAATCGCCGTCTGGACATCTCGCTAGTTACGCCATGGATTAGCGTACGCCCGGCGTTAGATACGCCTGGCGTATCTGATAGGTCTGAACGTAGCCTTTAAAGGAAGATTCACACCGAATCCGAATTCGGTTCGTAGAACGTTTTCGATGCGCGTCTTTGTACGCGCCTCTATTCTTTACCACTGATTCGATATTCTTTTTTCGTTTCGTTAACCATCCAATTCGGCTTCGGTGTGAATGCAGCTTTAGCCTATCATGCACACGATATTCCTGCCCCTGGTTAACTGTGACAAGATAAATGAAATTATGACATTGGCTGGAGCAAATGCTACACCCGAAATAGTGGATATGTACACGTAGAAATATTTTTCTAAAATCGGATTCAACACATTCGTTGGCACACCCCCTTAGCTAATTGCCTTTCTAGTTGAGGTAAGAAAATATTATTAAAAGTAGGCACCTGAAGATGCTCTGAAATGGCACTCTTAGACTTTTTTACATTTTACAATTACTTTGCAACTTACTTTTCTAAATGTAATGATATTTACATCAATTCTAAATTATGCTATGTTATGCTCGTTTCCATGAAATTATGAGTAGCATTTAATGCTACGGGGGAGCAAGTTATGCCAAAAAGCATAGGGCCACTATGCCGATTGGAAACTAATGCTATATAATAATATTAAAGTTAAATGGTACATATACTAATGCAAACAATAATACAGCTAAAAAGCCGCTCTCACCATGTATTTTGGTTGGTTGATATAATGGTAACCACAGGGCTAAAATTAAGTTTACCTATTATTTTATTTAAAGATTGAAATATTTTGTGCAAAAAGCACACACGAAGAAATGCTTTACCACTGTAAAGAAAAGGAATAAGTTGTCAGTG